AGACACCGAAGAGACCGAAGACACTGAAGACACCGAAGACACCGAAGAGACCGAAGACCGAAGACCGAAGAGACTGAAGACACCGAAGAGACCGAAGACACGAAGACACGAAGACACGAAGACACCGAAGACACGAAGAGACGAAGAACCGAAGACACCGAAGACACCGAAGAGACCGAAGACACCGAAGACACCGAAGAGACTGAAGACACCGAAGAGAACCGAAGACACGAAGACACGAAGACACCGAAGACACCGAAGACACTGAAGACACCGAAGACACCGAAGACAAGACACCGAAGACACGAAGACACCGAAGAAGACACCGAAGACACCGAAGACACCGAAGAGACCGAAGACACCGAAGACACCGAAGACACCGAAGACACCGAAGACACCGAAGACACCGAAGACCGAGAACGAAGACGAAGACCGAAGAGACTGAAGACACCGAAGACACCGAAGACACCGAAGACACCGAAGACACTGAAGACACCGAAGAAAGACACCGAAGACGAAGACCTGAAGAAGAACCGAAGACACCGAAGACACCGAAGACACGAAGACCGAAGACCGAAGACACCGAGACCGAAGACACCGAAGAGACGAAGACGAAGAGACCGAAGACACGAAGACACGAAAGACGAAGAGACTGAAGACACCGAAGACACCGAAGACACCGAAGACACTGAAGACACCGAAGACACCGAAGACACCGAAGACACCGAAGACACCGAAGACACCGAAGACACCGAAGACACCGAAGACACTGAAGACACCGAAGAAGACACCGAAGACACCGAAGACACCGAAGACACCGAAGACACCGAAGACACTGAAGAGAACGAAGACACCGAAGACACTGAAGACACCGAGACCGAGACCGACTGAGACAAAGACCAGAGAGACCGAGACCAAGACACCTGTGACCAGTGGGACGTCCACATAATAATAATAATAATAATAATAATGATAATAATAATAATAATAATAATAATAATGAATAATAATAATAATAATAATAATAATAATAATAATAATAATAATAATAATAATAATAATAATTATAATAATAATAATAATAATTATACTAATAATAATAATAATTATAATAATGAATAATAATATAATACTAATAATAATAATAATAATAATAATAATAATAATAATAATAATAATAATAATAATAATAATAATGATGATGATAATAATGATAATGATAATAATAATAGTAATAATAATGATAATAATAATAAATCAGTCCTGTCAGTTGTTCCACTCACAGCTGTTTCCAGTGTCAGTGACTGAACATGACTCTGGAGTAAAACACTTGAGTGTAAAACTCTAAATGGCCCCGGTGGAGCTCGGGCCTCTGCGCTGGAGATTATCCTGTCAGATTTGAGGCCCTTTAGCTCAGAGCGCGGGCCCCGGCCCCCGCCCCCTGGGCCCCCGCCCCGTTAAGCCCCGGTAATGGGAGTTTGATGCGCAGAGACGCTCATCTGTGCGCCTTTTAAATCCAATCAGCGCCACTTTCCTTTCAGAGGCGGAAAACTGCACAACAAACGGCTCCTGAGCGACCAGAGCCGGAGAGACGCAGGGGCCCGGAGCGCAGGGGCCCGGGTCCGGGTGTGGGGGGGTGGGTGTGGGGGGTACAGCAGCTGACGGTGGCGGTTCGTTCACGGTTAACAGGATCACGAGCGCACACTTCTGCCGCTCATGAATGAAGTGCCGGGGACATTTAACACGTCTGTTAAAGGAGTTTGATGGAGACAATCCCTTTAAGACGCTCCGCCGACCACGAACAAGAACCGTACACATCAACCTTTACACACGTACAAAGCCCCGCCCCTCAAGAGGCTGTTATCATTATTATTATTATTATTATTATTATCATTATCTATTATTATTATTATTATTATTATTATTATTATTATCATTATTATCATTATTATTATTATTATTATATTATTATTATTATTATTATTATTATTATCATTATTATATTATTATTATTATTATTATCATTATCGTTATTATTATTATTATTATTATTATTATTATCTATTATTATTATTCATTATTATTATTATTATTATTATTATTATTATTATTATTATTATTATTCATTATTATTATTATTATTATTATTATTATTATTATTATTATTATTATTATTATTATTATTATTATTCATTATATTATTATCATTATTATTATTATTATTATTATTATTATTATTATTATTATTATTATTATTACTATTATTATCATTATCATTATTATTATTATTATTATTATTATCATTATTATTATTATTATCACAGACCTGAGCTCTTCTCTGTGTTAAACTCTTGACACTTCAGGTCTGTTCTTCTCTTGGACTTTCTTAAAAAGTTGAATCATTTTTATAATCTGATAATTGATCCATCAGTGACGTAATCATCCAGAGGCCTGATATTTGTCCTGACCCCGCGGTGACGTACACACGTGAACCGGCGTGTTTCGTGTTTAATGTGACATGTCTGAATGATGCGGAGTGATCATCGTGTGTCTGTCCTCTGGGATTATTCTGCATCATAACGGCGCATAAACGACTGAGAAATGTGCACGGATCCGCGCGCACGGATCCGCGCGCACGGCCCGTGTGTCAGTAACAGTGTTAACAGAAAGAGGATGGAGTTTTAATGCGGCGCGGGCAGCTGCTCCAACAGCCGCACAAAATCCGGCGCAGGTCTCAGATTCGTCTCGGTCATTGAGATCAGACCCGCTCTTCCTGCTCACCAGCTGCTAACGAGCCAACAAAGACCCGCGCACGGACCCGCGCACGGACCCGCGCACGGACACACGCACGGACACGCACGGACACAACCGGGAGAAGAGCCGAGACAGAGGCGCATTTCACGGGGGAGGATCCGAACTAATCACCGCGGACCGATGGAGCCGCGCTCAATTTAACGCACCAGATTAAGACACGATTTATCAAAGGTCCTACAGGTCCTGCAGGTCCTACAGGTCCTCAAGTCCTACAGGTCCTGCAGGTCCTACAGGTCCTCAGGTCCTACAGGTCCTGCAGGTCCTACAGGTCCTGCAGGTCCTGCAGGTCCTACAGGTCCTGCAGGTCCCACAGGTCCTACAGGTCCTGCAGGTCCTGCAGGTCCTACAGGTCCTACAGGTCCCACAGGTACAGGTCCAGGTCCTCAGGTCCTGCAGGTCCTACAGGTCCTGCAGGTCCTACAGGTCCTGGAGGCGCGGGTTCGGGTCCCTCAGTGACTCTTGTGATTGCGCAGGCGCGGCGCCAGAGTAAAAAACACCACAGTGTAAAACGTGCTCCACGCGCACGCGCCCGGTCAAACTCTGGAGTCTGTGTTTATAAACGTGACAAAAATGTGACATTAAATAAAGTTTGGTTGAGGTTTTGTTCTGGGGTCAGACTCGCGCAGGCCTCGGGCGCATCAGGGGCGTGTCCGGGGCCGCGGCGTGGGCGTCTCTGCGTGGGGTGATGGATGAGTCTTGGCCTGTCCACGCAGTGTCCAGTGGCCGCGTGGCCCGGAGCCGTGCGCTTTTACGCACGACAGAAAAGGCCTGAAGAAAAGGGCCGAGAGCGCGTGAGGCCTGCGGCTCTTCCGCTTTGTCCAGCGCGTTTACGACTTTATAAAGCGGCTCCATGAATCTCAGTGAAACACTTTTCCTGCGGGTTTGTGTCCGTGTGGACCGGATCCTGTCCGCCTCGTGTTGGACTCAGTTAAACTGTTTTCTCCGCGCTCCCGTGACGCGCCCTGAGCGCGGCGCGTTCACACGGGACAGAGGTCAGATGTTTCCCGTATGCAAATGCGCGCGGCCTTATGTCGTAAATATTCACGCGGCCTGGTGTCCGCGCTGCGTAAACGGCCTTTGTGTCGTTAACTCTCGGGTTTACATCCTCCGCACCAGTCCCCACCAGCCGCACCGTCTGCTGCGCCGCGCCTCCACCGCGCTCTGAAAGGACGGGGAGGGTCCGCTCCGCCGCGCCTCCACCGCGCTCTGAAAGGACGGGGAGGGTCCGCTCCGCCGCGCCCGCACCGCGCTCCGAAACGCCCCCGTCACGGATAAAAAACGAGCGGATCATAAAGAGTTTAAACAGAGAAGCACCTGTCGCGGCGCGGCGCACAAAGACGCGGCGCTTTCGGAGTCCGTCATGCGTGAGGAACAAATTTACTCCCAACAAAGACGCACTTCATCATAGGACATGGGACAGGACAGGGACAGGGACAGAGACAGAGACAGAGGGACAGGGACAGGGACAGGACAGAGGGACAGACAGGGACAGAGGGACAGGGGGACAGGGACAGACAGAGACAGAGACAGAGGGACAGACAGGGACAGACAGAGACAGACAGGGACAGACAGAGACAGGGACAGACAGAGACAGAGACAGACAGGGACAGAGACAGAGACAGACAGAGACAGGGACAGACAGAGACAGAGGGACAGGGACAGACAGGGACAGACAGGGACAGAGGGACAGGAGACAGAGGGACAGACAGACAGACAGACAGACAGGGACAGACAGGACAGACAGGACAGGGACAGGGACAGAGACAGACAGGGACAGGGACAGAGACAGAGACAGAGACAGAGACAGGACAGAGACAGGGACAGAGACAGAGACAGGAGACGAGGGACGGGGAGACGGGGACGGGGACAGGCTGGTTTAGTGACGAGTTAAGAGTTCAGACTGGTTAAGTCCTGGTTTACCTGGTTTAGTCCTGGTTTACCTGGTTTACTGGTTTAGTCTGGTTTAGTCCTGGTTTAGCTGGTTTAGTCCTGGTTTAGTCCTGGTTTAGTCCTGGTTTAGTCCTGGTTTAGTCCTGGTTTAGTCCTGGTTTAGTCCTGGTTTAGTCCTGGTTTAGTCCTGGTTTAGTCCTGGTTTAGTCCTGGTTTAGTCCTGGTTTAGTCCTGGTTTAGTCCTGGTTTAGTCCTGGTTTAGTCCTGGTTTGGAGCTGGTTCAGTTTGACTGAAACTGCTGCAGGCAGGTAAAGTGTCAGTGCAGTGTCTTGCTCAGGGACACAACAACAGTATGTGTAACTTGAGGTTCTTGTGAAGTGTCTGTGCAGTCGAACCCTCTGGTAACAGGGCAAACTGTGCCGCTGCACCACCTCCTCTGGGTCAAAGACTCAAAGAAACTTTATTGGTCCAAAAGACGAGACAGAAAAACAAACAGATAAATGTTGATAAGAAATAATCAAGAAGAAGCAGAAAGAGAAAGAGACACGAGTGAAATAAAACAGAAGGACAGAAGCACCAGCAGGTCAGAGCAAACTCACAGCTGAAACTAAGTCTGTGTTTCAGCCTGAGGTAAAACTTTCACTGGGGTTTCCTCTCTCCCTCCTCCCTCCTCCCTCCTCCTCTCCTCCTCTCTCTCCTCTCTCCTCTCTCTCTCTCTCCTCTCCTCTCTCTCTCTCTCTCTCTCCTCTCTCTCTCCTCTCTCTCTCTCCTCTCCTCTCCTCTTCCCTCTGTCTCCCTCCATCTGCTCGGTCGACACACTCGCAGCATTAAAAGCGTGACAAGCATTAAATCCTTATTAACTCAGTATTACCCCCCTCCCCGTTTCTTTGGCCTCTGCTCAGATTCAGGCGTCGTTTTTCCTTTTACTCGACAACAGTTGCATCTTTTTAGACTTTTACAAACTTTATTGATCCACAGGGAAAAGATTTGGACTCAGGAGTCACACGTCAAAATAAACAGAAGAACAAGAAGAACAAATAGAACTGGTGAAAATGAATTCAAAACAAAGAAATCTTTAAACATTTTAGTCGATAAGTGAACTCAGGTGCTTTGGGTTTTCTCCAGGACTGAACCAGGTCTGAGTTCCGGTCTCGGTCTTGGTCCTGGTCCCGGGTCGTTGTGTTTAAGCGTCTCTGGTCCTGGTCTTGGTCCTGGTCTCGGTCTTGGTCCTGGACTCTGGCTCTTCTGTTTAAGCGTCTCTGGTCCTGGTCCTTGGTCTTGGTCCTGGTCTCGGTCTTGGTCCTGGACTCTGGCTCTTCTGTTTAAGCGTCTCTGGTCCTGGTCCTGGTCTTGGTCCTGGTCTCGGTCTTGGTCCTGGACTCTGGCTCTTCTGTTTAAGCGTCTCTGGTCACAATCGCAGATTCGTCACAGAGGCTCAGTGTGAATCAATTGCAAATGTATGGTTTAATCTGAGGGCGACATTATGGCCGAGCTTTGTGTCCCTGCCCCCCGCCGCTCGCCCCTGCCGCCCCTGCCGCCCCTGCCACCCCTGTCGTTTAATCCCCTCAGCGTTTGCCAGGTGCTGAGTTAAAGTTGGGTTTCTCAGTGTTTTGGTTTGTGGAGCTGCTGCTGGTCCTGTTCTCCTCTTCCTCTGTATTTACATTCAACCTTTATCACTATTTTATTTTTATTTTTAGTCTCCAAACTGTGAATGATCGTGTGAAAAAGTGAACATCAAACCTCCATGTTTGTTTTCCCAGTGTCTATTGACAAAGTTTTTCGTTTTTTCACTTTAATGCATTTATTTTGGGCAAGTAAAGATCCACGTCCACGAACAATGGAACAAATGACACAAGTGAAAATAACAACAACTAATAATAACTCTTATTATGACTATTTTGGCCAAAAAGGAGCGGGAAGAAGAAAACTGATTTAATCCCAGTCCTACTCTTCATAATCAAACACAATGATCTTATTTTGTGTTTTTCAGACATTTTGAATTAAACTATATGAAGTATTTACGAGTGCAGACGAGAGTCTCTGTTATAGTTTGGCAGTAGAACATAAACGCACCAACGACGGTAAAGTGAAGGAAACAGACGATGGTAAGAAACAACAAACATGAACCAGCGCTACAGAGGCAGGATCTTTCTAATATTATGTCTGATGTGGCTTTTCCATGATAATTTACTGTTTATTAAAACTCCCAGGAATTTATTTTCATTTACATTTTCTATTTGGACACAATCAACATGTGTAACTCTGTGTTAATCTTGCGATTGCCAAACATCATGGCCTTGGTCTTACTCAAGTTTAATGACAATTTATTGATATTCATCCACTTTTTAATTTTATTTAGCTCCTCATTTGAGGAAAGTCGATCTTTTCAAGTCTTTTGAACCATTTCACTTTTGTTTCTGCTTCTGATATTGTCATGTTTTAGTTTTGGGATTCGGTCGTCGTATTTGTGTGGTTGTTGGATCCTAAAGGTTGTAAAGGATTTTTTAAGGGAAGAGAAACACAGCCACAGTTGTTTTTCAAATGTTGTTCATGTGTGACTCCACCTTCCTCCTCCACAGCCTCAGTAGAAACACCTCCTCCTCCTCCTCCTCCTCCTCCCGCCTCTTTACTCTAGAATCACACTTGTTTACATCCAGTGCTCGTCCAGAATCACTGTTGAAGTTTCCTGTTGAGAAATATTTTAGTGATGGACGCGTGAGTCTTTAGACCCTTCGTCTGCTTCAGTCGCGCCGTCGCTGGAAGGAATCTCCAAGAATCACCTCAGTTTGTCTTCGCTCCTCTTCCTCTTCTCTTCTTCTTTCAGCGAACTCAAAAACAGACTTTCTTTTGCGGTGAACTGGTCGTGGATTCTCGTCCGTCATCGCAGGCGAAGAAGCGACAGTTTGAAAAAGCCTCTAAGAACAGCGGCATAAACCATGTAAACCCCAGCGCACTAGAAACGAAGTTAGTTTGATTCACAAGCTGACAGCCAATGGATAAAGAGGGAGCCTCGTTTTCTATTGGCTGATGTTTATCTGGTCTCAACACGTCCACAGTTGATAGATTTTCATTCTTTTTTTTTTTGTCATCATAATTACAAGGCTGTTGCGTCTCTGTACTGGTATTTTAAACTTTCAATGACAATTTGAAACAAAAAAAATCCTCCATACAACATCTAACAGCGGAAAACGACTCGAGAAACGGACTTCAGAAGTTTGTGAACTTCATAAATGCAAAAGTGAATCAGATGTGTGTGACTCAAACCTCCGTTCAAACTGTTTCTCTTCCCAACGGAATTGAAAAATAGTGAAAGGTGAAGGTGATGGGCAGGATTGATCCACAGGAAGAAACAAAAAGGAAACATTTGTCTGACTAAGAAATCATCCTGAGTTTACAGAGAACATTTTGTACGTGGAGCCACGACAAAACAAAACCCCGTTTGTTAATGTAGAGGAGCAGAAGACAAACAGACTGAGCTGCACTTTCTTGTTCTTGTGGTTTTACACAAACATCACGTCTTGGTCTTTGCAGTGGAAGGTGTTTCTTGGTGAACAGTTGGAGACTTTCACTTTGGTGTTTTTGACTTTTTAAATTCATAACCGAGTTTGAACGAAGGATCAGGATTTAGTTTTGTCGTGGCTCCACATACAAAATGTTCTCTGTAAACTCAGGATGATTTCTTAGTCAAATGTTTCCTTTTTGTTCTTCCTGTGGATCAATCCTGCCCATCACCTTCACCTTTCACTATTTTTCAATTCTGTTGGGAAGAGAAACAGTTTGAACAGAGGTTTGAGTCACACACATCTGATTCACTTTTGCATTTATGAAGTTCACAAACACATTTCTGGAGTCGTTTTCCGCTGTTTGGATCCAACAACCACAACAATTAACGACGTCCGAATCCCAAAACTAAAATATGACAATATCAGAAGCAGAAACAAAAGTGAAATGGTTCAAAAGACTTGAAAAGATCGACTTTGTCAACAGACACGTTCCACTGGGAAACAAACATGGAGGTTTGATCCTCACTTTTTCACAGGATCTTTTCTCCGTGTGAACTGGACGATGACCTGAATCTGAGATTCACGATGCTTGAATTCATGATGAACATGAGTCTGTATCGTCACTTTTTCTTTGTGTTTTGTTGTTTTTAAGCAGATTTTCTGTATTTGACCAAAACAATTGTCAGTTTTTGTCTCTTTACTGTTTCAGGATCAGTTTGGTCCAAAACAGAGACACTGGGACATTTCTATATAAACTGGGACACATCGGTGGTTTTGTGTGAATCTGTGGGACAGAGACACTGGGACAGGACTGGGACGTGTGGACACTCGAGACAAGAATGAAACGTCAGAACGAGTAAATTTAGAGTCGTTTATTTGAAGAAAACTCGTCCAGTAAAATGATCTTCTGCACGGACACGACATTTCAACACGTTAACTCATTTTCTGACACTTTTAAGATTTTAGATTTTATATTTTGGACAAACTTTTCTGCAGGACACTTCCTTATAAACTCTGACACAAACTAAAAGTGAAACAGAATAAAATCCTGCAGCAGGTCGACCTGGAGCAGAGTCCTGCTCAAACTGGCTGATTTTTCATCTGGATCCCTCCTCTCTCTCTCTCTTTTTCTCTCTGAGGCCTAAACTGTTTTTGTATTTTGGTTTAAATAAATCATGAGTCCTTCTCTCGCCCCTCGCCCTCCCCTCACCCTCCCCCTCGTCCTCCCCTCGCCCTCCCCCTCGCCCTCCCTCGCCCTCCCCTCGCCCTCCCCTCACCCTCCCCTCGCCGTCCCCTCGCCCTCCCCTCGCCGTCCCCTCACCCTCCCCTCGCCGTCCCCTCGCCCCTCCCCTCACCCTCCCCTCGCCCTCCCCTCGCCCTCCCCTCACCCTCCCCTCGCCCTCCCCTCGCCGTCCCCTCCGCCCTCCCCTCGCCCTCCCTCGCCCTCCCCTCGCCCTCCCCTCGCCTCCCCTCCCTCGCCGTCCCCTCGCCCTCCCCTCGCCCTCCCTCGCCGTCCCCTCGCCGTCCCCTCGCCCCTCCCCTCACCCTTCCCTCCCCGTCCCCTCGCCCTCCCCTCGCCCTCCCCTCGCCCTCCCCTCGCCCTCCCCTCGCCCTCCCCTCGCCGTCCCCTCGCCCTCCCCTCGCCGTCCTGCGCCCGGACGCTGCTCTCGCCGCACAAAGCCGCTGCTGTGATGCTAATGAGCCTCGGCCGCGGCCTCGGTGTGAGCGGCTTTAGCCTTCGCCGCGTCCGCTCCACTCGCATCATCACAGTGACGAGACGCGAGCTGACATAA